ACTTGCCACTTGTCGCATTCATTTCGTGGAAGAGAAAGCCCCGTGACAAGGTATTACTCCGTGCTAGCTGCTCTCTGCGAGCCCCGTAAGCTTATTGGCCATTCCACGTGCTGGCCATTAAGACAATTGGCCAAGCAAAACCAATTTCTGATAAGCCTCTTTTGCTTAAAAGCCAAATTATGGTATTTGAAAAATATTCGCTATACCTTTGCTCACCCTTTCCTTCGCTTTTTTTCTTGCCTCTTTTACTTCTGCCTCTCGTGTTGTTTTCACAATAAGCAGCCCGCAGCCCGCAGCTCACAGCCCATAGCCCCCGCCCAGCACTTCGGTTATAAAGTAATTTCCCCAGACGCATCGAACCCTTCTAAAAAGAATAGGAAGAAACAGCTGCAACTGGAGCGGGAGGGGCATTGGGATCTGGAGTGGAACATGGTCAACACAACACAGGCACAGTTGAGGTGCCTGGCTTTCTCAATATTATTACTGTTGTTGTTGTCTTTTTTTATTGAGCAAATGCCCTCTGGGACTATTTGGCGGGCCATTGAAAAAAATAAAGGTATTATGCTCAATATTATTATCGGACTTTGGTCTGTCCGTCCGTCTGTCTGTCTGTGGGACTGCTGCTCGACTGGCCGCGTGCAGACGAGCCTCTGCCAGAGCATGGACAAAATTAACTATCAACGGCAATGCGGCAATGCCCCGAAGTAATTTTAAATAAAATATTTATAAACGTATTTGCGCATTGAAGCGCGACCGATGTCATTTCCTAGAGCATAGAAAGAAGTGACAAACCCGATGCAGATCCACTCAGTAGTTTATACCCCTTTTGCAGGGACTTTTGTTAAGGGACTTGGCTCTAAAAACTGCCATTGAGTGCTCAGCAATGCAAATGGCGCGCAATTGTTATAAATTTTTATATTCGATTCGAAATTATCAATCAGCGCAATCGGAAATTGACTTCAGAGAGTGTTTTGCCCCTCCCAATCTCCCTCTCTTATCATTCCCTTTTTTGGTTTCACTGACAGCTGATAGATTTAAAAACACGCTTCCCCCGAGAGTTGTTGCCTCGAATGATATTCATTCCTTCAATTTCGGTTTTATCTCTCTCTCTCTCTCTCTGTGCTTTGTGCCAAGGCTTGGGACAATTAATAATTGCCTTTCACATTGCGTATGCATTAACCGTCTGAGAAAAAGGATCCGCAGTAATCATATTAACGAGTCTTAAAGCAAATGGGGCGTGACCGAAGGCGTAAAATGATTGCAACTATGACAAAGACAACAGAGAACATGGCAAAGGCAAAACCAAGTGAAGGCAGCCCGTGGGGTTTTATTAAAATAATAAAGTTCTAATTTAATTATGAAGCAGCAAGCACAAAGCACAGAGACACTGAGTCGACTGGGTAGGGGGAAGAGCGAAGCGGGAGAGGGGCAAGTTACATACTTTTCATTTTGATAACTCACGTACCCCTCCCGAGGGCCCTAATTAGCAGGCGACGGCCGTATAACCGAAAAATCAAGGCGCCCTCAAGCTGTTCGGCTTCGGATAGGGGTTTGTCGGGTTTGCGGCGGACGGAGTGGTTTGCGAAATAAAGGACCATAAAGTGCTAATTGAATAAAATGGCACATGACTTGCATAACTTATTATCAAAGATACGTATATATATTATATATGTATAGACGATATTCCCGCTGGCCCGTCATTCCTATGCAGGTCAGAGCTGAGCAAGAGCAAGAGAAGCAAAAATCCAACTCGTCCGCGCCTCAAGCATAAATTTATTTCATTTTCATAAATTTAAAGCGTAATTTAAGACAAAAGCAGGTTGCCTGAATATATATAGATGTGTATACGTGTGTGTGTGTCAGCAGAAGGCGCCACTTAGAGAGCTTAAGGGCGCCCAAAAGGATATTTAGCTGGCGGAAACATTTTTACGTTTCGTTTAACGTGCCAAAGATGGCAACCAGGCAACCACCAGGCGACCAGCCAAAAGCCCAGCTATCTCCTAGCCAACAACGCCCGCCCACCTGCTATCAAACGTCTGTGGGCAAAAGTTGAGCGGCCCACGTAAAACTAATTTAACCCGCAACGTCCCACGGACACTTTTGTTCGTGTTACGCTAAATTAGTCGAAAGAAAAAAATGGAAAAGAAAAATAAATGAATACAAAGGCGAAAAACGAAAATTTTCTGTTTCGGCTGAAATAGAAATACGAATAACAACAACAACAAGAACCGCAACGGCGAGCGGAACATACTCTACTAATACCATAAAAAATTATTTTACCTTGGGGAAATTTTTGCAACAGTTTTTAATTTGTAATGCGCTACGGCCACTAAAAGAAAGTGGTTAGTTCTTAGTGGGTAATTGCAACTGCCCATGGATGTAGGGTATATCAATTGATAATGAAGAGTTGTCACGACTCGCTGCCATTCGGATAATCTATCTTCGAAGTTTTGAAAACCTCTAGGCTACAGAAATGAACTAGATGAGTGACAGAATATTCTAAGAATTGCTCATATGAATAAGCAGAGGCAGTTGAAAAAAAAACTACAAGAGAAGGATAGAGGGGAATTCTGTGAAATGACAACGATTAGGTAAATGAAGAACAGAAGAAGAGATATGGATGATAGCTATACGAATCTGGTAGAGGACTCTACGACATCTAGATTTAGTCGATTCCCCAGAGCTAAAAGATCAACTTGATAATTAAAGAAATATTTCTTTCTACACTTTCTCATATGAGAAAGAAGATAAAATGTTGGGAAATGAAAAAGATTACTTAAATGAAGAACAATAAAAAGAATATTATATATTTGGATAGTGGAAGAGACCAGAGAACAGTAGAATAGAATCCTTCTAGAAGAAGGAATAAAGCGATTAGGTACGAAAACTATTCTAATACTAATTCAACAATTAGTTTACCGGTCCACTTACTGAAACGTCTGCTTAGTCGACCTATTCAGCTGCCATATCAGGGTATTTAGCTTTTGGTGAAAGCTGGCCGAGGGATTCTGCGTGTCGACGACGAGTCAATTGTTTAGTGGGCTGTCATTAAGCGAGCGTCCATTTCATTAGCATTGCGGCCAGGTTTGCGCCGACGGGCCACTGCAGCCCCATACTCCTCCACCCCCTACAATTTTTACTATGCCCAACACGTTTTGAATTGTTAAAGCGGCTGCCGCAGACCGGACCTATCCGGAGCTCGGCTTCCGGCTGTGGCGCCGTGTCCGGGTCAGGGCCAGCAGTTGGACTCTGATCGGTTGGACGCGCTGTCAAGAGCATTTGCAATTAAAACGCGAAGAGTTAGGCCACGCCCACCCTTCTGCTGCCCCTGCTTGCAAATACAATCATTGTTATCGAGGCTGTCAGAGCGTCAGTCGCGGCCATTGATGTCATTTTAAAAGGACTCTCTTTAATGCATATTAATGTCAATATTAATGCCAATATTTGCGCTTCTAATGAGCGTCCATGCAGTGGCTGCCGTTGACAGCTTTGTTAGTTTTTCAATGCCGTTTGATGTGTCCGCTTTATCGAGAGCGCCGGCCGTCGTAATTAGAAATACCTGCCCCGAGAGAGAGAGAGAGAGAGGGAGAGAGAGAGAGAGAGAGAGAACTGAAACCTGAAGCGTCGCCTGATTAAAGGTCCTGGCGACATTCTGTTGACATTCGTAAAGTTTTCTACCTAATAAGATCTCAACTAGCTGGCTCATAAAACAGCCGCAGCTGCCCTGGCACCGAGGGCTGAACAGCTCCTGGAATCGCCTTAAAGGACCAACTTTGCCATTGGCAGCCAGCTTAGAGAGAGCAACAGAGAGAGAGAGAGATAGAGAGGGCGAATCGGAGGCTCAGGTACGCAGCAGCTGCCAAAAGTCAAACGTTAACTAAGCGCCGAAAAACTTGTGACACAAAATGCGCCCAGGCATAAGTAAACTCCTAAGAAATTCAAATGAGCGTAAGCGCAAAATACTAAAAAAAGTTGGAGAGAGTGAATGAAAGAGATAGAGGGAGTGCGAGGGCAGGCAAAAAATGTGGAGGCCGAGGCTAGAATTTAAATAAATGAAGTCGCTCTACAGCGAAAAATAACTTGAAAAATATCCTGGCAACGGAATCCCTTTTTTTCACGCACTCCTTCTAAACACATCAAAGAGATGGCCGAAAACGAATATATACATATGACATACGGGAGCGAATAAGCAAGTTCTGTTTTTAGAATAGAAAAGGTTGGGGCAGTTTATAACGGCCATAACTGGCATAAAAATGAATTCACGCCAAATGGCAAAAACTACAAGCGAGTAATTAATAAATTGATATACTTTAGAAATTATTTTAGGTATATATTAATATATAATAAAAAATGTTCGAGAAATGAAGAAGAGCGTCAAAAAATAAATTTGTTATAGCATGCTTGTAATCGCACTCTCCTGTTTTAGCATAGGAAGCGTAAGTAAGCTCTTCGAAGCATCCAAATGGACAGTATGATGAAGTCCAGACCAAAATGAGCAACGAAAAAATAATTCCAAAAGAAGGAATACGGAATTTTATAGAGAGCATAACTCTTCGAAGCCCTGTAATTTTTATCTGTTGCTTTATTTTATTTATTAAGAACAAACTTTTGAACCAAAAAGATCTAAATTTGCGTGCGTGGTTTAATTTGTATGCCTAATTAAAGTGAATAGTTGTGAGCATACACTAATTATTTTATACACTAAGACTACCATCTTATGTATGTATGTAATTTTTGAAAATTCACCGAATTGGTTGCAAGCATTTTTTTATTTTATTTATTTTTTTTGATTATTTTATTTTGTGAAACTATTTGAATTATTGCAGTTTAATTTATGTCTCAATCTCTCATTCAGCTCGAATAAACTTTTTCTTATTAGTTCCCTGCTTCATTTTATTATTTCTTTCAGTTTATTTTTCCTTCTGCAGCAAAAAGTTTGCAGGTGTAATCTAATCAGTTTTAATTCTTGTTTAATGCTCTTATAGAACTGTTCGACTTACCATTGTTAATGACATATCGAGGATTGGTCATGTCCACCTTGGTCTGGTTGATGATCCAGTAGATGGTGGGCGGCGGATTGCCAATGGCTTTGCATTGCATTTGGACGGTGTGGCCCACCTCGATGACGCGTGTGCCCGGGCCCTGCGTTATAACCGGAAAGCCTGCGGGTGTTTTATCGCCTGCAACGAGAAAAGAACAAAACAGAAAATTTAGTAAATGTTGTATAGCTAAAAAAAAAAAACATAGTACAAAGAACCGGATTTAAAAATTATGTTGCATAGTGAAAAATAACAATAAATGTGTGTGTGTGTGTTAGTGTGTGGGCCATGTGAAGAGTTTGCTAGCGCAGCGGTTGGAGTTTTTCAAAAACAATATCCCACAAATATACACGGGCACCCACAAATACTAGCCCACCCACACACCATACACACACAAAGTATTGTTTTACATGAAGCTCTTATAAGCGGAAGTTGGCGTTTTTTATATATACATACATATGTACATATACATTTGTATATATATATATATTTTTTTTCTTTAAAAGCTTGCCTCGTTGCTTGGCTGCTTTTGTTGCCGCTTTCTACACCATTTTGTAAGTCAAACAATGGCGTTCACCACACACGTGTGTGTGTGTGTGTGTGTGTGTGTGTGTGTGTGTGTGTGTGTGTGTG